TTCTTTTCTACTGCACTGCTTCTTTTCGTATCAATGCAAAATGCTGAACTACCTTTAAAGTAGAGATGGGCACAAACCAAACTACAAACAAAAAACAAACAAAAAAACCAACCCACGAACAAGGTTGGTTCATTGTTCAGTTCATGCAGTTTGTTTTGCTGAAATGAAATGAAGCACCAAATATTTTTCCATTCCGTGCTTCATTTCAGCAAAACAGATGGCCCAACCCCCTCTTCCCATTGCCCCGTTGCCTCCCTACCTGGTCCTGCTCTTCCTTCTCTGCCACTGCCATCTTCAGAGAAAGTGGTCAACTTCCCTTCTGGAAGCTGGGCCCATTGTCTCTGTGAATGTGATAGACCGACACATGCACAGAGACAGACAGCCCAGCTTCCCTCTCAGAATGCAAACTGGGCCTCCTATCTCTGCACATTTGCCGGCCAATTAGTGCAATGGCACAACTGAAGAGGTAAGCTTCCCCACCACCACCAGGCACAAACCAAAAAACAAACCAGTTCACAGTCTGGTCTTCTGGCTCGTTTGTGGTCAACCATGAACCACCATTTTTTAGGTTTGTGCCCATCTCTAAAGCTTTTAACAATTTGGTACCAGGCCATCTCAAGGACTGCTGTTATCCATAAAATCTGCCTATACCCTAAATTCTGTCAAAGGCATTCTTCTCAGGCATCTGCTGGTAAAATCAAATATACACGACAGACAGGGCCTTCCTGGTGATGGACTAGAACTGGAGATCTGCCTTCCTAGTGACTCATATTGTGCAACTTCTATAGTGGCATTCTGGCCACTATCTTCCTCTTTACTATTACCCTTAAACCTTCACATCACCCATTATAATGCCCTTCTAATTACCATCTTAGGACTCTTAATATGTAGACACCATGACTTCAAAATTAAGTCAACACATCCTTCCTTCACCTGCCTTCTGTGACGACCTGATGAAATATTGCAGACTTGAAAAATTTTGTGGCCTTTTGGTTATTATTCTCACTTGGATTTGTTATTTTCTTTCATAAAGTCAACATATTTTTTCTAAGGTGCACTATGATTTATTTTGTTCTAAGGGGAGTAGGAATTTGTTTGTTTTGCATATGGTTACTTTAATGAAACATGGCAGTTAATATAATCATTAAAAAAAGGCATTCTGGACAAAATGGGAAATCTTATCCTTAAATTACGGTATTCTTCCTAGCTGGGTGCCACAACACGCAATTCAAATACAATATAGTGTGTTTTAGGCCCCAGTTTGTTTTTATCCTATGAACTCCACACAATAACATAATGTGCCAGTATGTTGTGCTTCTAGAACAGTATTCCAGTATTTGAAAAAATTGTGAGACACTTAAAACTTTAATTTAAGTTTTGAAAATGAGGATGTGTTTCTGTGGAGCAATTAAAAATCAAGCTCAAAGATCTACTACGTAAAGACCTCTAAGTTTTAGCACGCAAATTCTCTACATAAAATATGAAGATTAATTAATGGTCAGACACCATCTCAATACCACACAAACTATAGAGGTTTGCACCAGACGTACTTTAAAACACTATTATGTTATGAATTAAGAAATACAAATGGAAAGCATCATTTGATTGTTTCCCATAAAAAGTTCACTTATTTAATCAACCCCTTTGGAAAACATGTTCAGTTTAAAAGCTATTAGGAAAGCATGTCACAAAACAAGGAGAATGGGAGAGTTATAACATGAAAGAGAAGTAACAGTTAAAACATGGCATTGTTATTTTTCCTCACCACCTTTAGTACCTCATAACATAATGCCAAGAGTAACATGAACTTGTTTTTCTTCAATTCCCCCTTCTCATAAATGCAGTTATAAATTACAGGCTTTCAAAATTTGTGCTGGGATACCACATAAGTAATACACTTTTATAAGAGGAGGCTGTGCTGGAGTGATAAAGTGTAAAAAAGGAAGCCTTATAAAATACTCTGAACCATTCTGACACACTTCAGAAACTGTTCTGCAAGAGATTTTACATTAAGCTATTTAAAAAATGAGGAGGAAATTTTCTAGTCCTTAAATCAACTAAGATCTGATTTACCATGTGTAGGTTACATGCACTTTGGTTTTAATTCATAAATAGACAGTGTTTAAATAATGACAGACTGTATATGTTAAAAGAGACCTTAAAATTTCCAATTGATCAGCACAACATAGTATCATTATTTTGTTGCTAATTTTACAGAATAAACTCTTGGAAGGGATCATTTCCCCTGGAAATGATAGTGAGACGTTTTTCATGACACACACTTTTCTATTTCACAATACTGACTACCATCCAGTCTTTTCTTGTTTGCATGATAAAATTCACGCTACAGACCACAATACTTCAGGAATCCTACAAAGCAAGCAGATGTAGCAACCTCAGAAGGCTACAATACCAAGGTTCAATGAGGTATTGTCAGAAGGCCCAATTAAATCAGTACTCACAATTGTGTTGTTTAGCACAATAAATTGCACCAGAAAAATCCCACTGAATCAATGGAGATTTATTTCCAGACTAGAGATGGGGGTATTCGTATATCCCTGCACAGGTGGCATTAACAAGGGTCCAGCTCCATGTTGCTGGACGGTCCACTCACCAATCTGACGCAGATGGCACGATTCTGCAAATGGCTCCACTCGCCAGTCTTCAACTTTGCAGCGAGGCTTGTCCTCCCACCTCCTGCCAGGAGTGGCGAGCAGATCGTGCACTGCAGAGCCATTCGCAGAATCACGCCATCCGTGGCAGATCGGTGAGTGGTAACCCTCGTTAACACCACCTGTGCGGGGATGTTTGTATTCATATACAAATATGAATACCCCCATCTCTATTCCAGACTCAAACAGGCTTACTCTAAGTAACCACACTAAAGTCAGCTGCAGTTACAAAAGACCCACTTGAATCAATGGAACTTACGGAGTTGACTCACCAAATCCCAACTAATTCAATGAGCCTACACTATTGTGATTTACTATGCAAAGCAACAGAATTTTGGGCATTAAGTGGGATCTAGATTTGACCCATGCACCTAGGCTGGAGACCCTTATAAACAGCATTAGCAACAGTAGAGTTGAAGGATCACTAAAAATTGTGCAGAGTCCTTCCATTCACAGGCTGATCCTGGAGGAAAATGAGGAAGCTCTAATATGAAATGAAGTGACTCAATAAAAGAAGACATGACCTTGAGTTTGCAAGAGCTGAGAAGGACTGCTAATGATGGAACATTTTGAAAGTCACCATGGGTCAGAAGCAACTTGAACAATATATATCAACAATATACTAGACAGAACAAATAACCTTTAACACAAGTCTCATAAGCAATAGTGCCAGCAAGCCAGATGAAATGTGTTTCTCTGTCATCTGACCTTCTAGGGTAAAAACTCACTTTTGCCATTACACAGCATGTAAAACAGCCCTTTCTGCCCCTATATTTTGATAAATCTTAAAACTATGCCATGGCACTGTTCCCTTTATTGGGACTACTTCTACTGAATTTTTAGCAATCATTCAGACATACTACTCATAGTAAGCTATGGCTCACTAAGTAATTATCCAAGGACTGGGTTCAAGTGCATCCATCATGGTCATGAGATTACTAGAGGTTTTGTTCTGGATTGTTTCCCTTATTATTACAGTTTAACTATGCCCCAACTTAAAAGTGTTTTATCTTAAATATGGTTTACTGATATAAGCCATATTCACCTAC